TGTCGGTATCAATGTACAGTTGAATACCAGAAATGGTTAGCTGTTTGCAGTTTTTTCATAACTGCCGAAAAAAATTTGAATCTTTTATTTATTTTTTATATCAATCTGTTTTTTGCATATTATCATAAGCAGTCACGGAATACGGTAATCAGTGACAAATTTTCTCTTTTACTGCTTCTTACCCGTACCTATCGGTTACAAATTTAGTTATGAATGGTAACCCAAATAATTATTCCCTGCCATCACCTGAACATGTTACAAAGATAGCGATCTCGAATGCTGAATCTACAGCTCATATGATGCCACGTAACGCTCAGCCAGTTACTTCAGTTTCGCGTATTCCAGTTTATACATACCATAATAACAATAACATCAGTAACCATAATACGGTCAGTTATAGTTCTGCTGACGTTGTTGTTGCTGAAAAGCAATATTCAATAAAACTTTCATATCTGGTCACTTTTATAACTAAACAAACTACTTTTCTATAACTAATTTTATTTCCTCTATAGAAGTTCGTTTAATAATAATAGTTGTGATCATATATTTATTTTCTTTTTTATTAGCTTTTTTTTAGTATGCTTACTAACGCTTTGTTAACCGTTTTAGCCATCGGTCTGCACGCCGCCAGTCTCTTCCCTTTCACTAGCGAAACCGTCGAATCCAACTGACATTTCTTTGCCGAAACCCACTGAAACTGATTGTTGTTCAAGTTTTGACGAAAAGAGTAACATCGGTTCAAATAAAGTTGAAGCTGATTTAACAGCAGTAAAAGATGACTCGCTAAAGCGAACGCTGGTAGCTGTTAAAACAAACTCATTTACTAACGATGATACTAAAGTAACAACAAATCATAATATCCCTACTTCTGAAAATTCTCTTCCGAGCATGCAAACTAATCGAGTTTTTGCTAATGATTTTCCTGATTCATTTTCCTCTGAAAAATCTTTATCTACCACTACCACCACCTCAACAACAGCAACAGCAAAGACAACAGCGACAACAACAAAAGCTGCTACTACTGTTGCTGCTATTACTACAACAACTACCACTACCTCAGTACCGTCTGCAACAGCTCTACCAACTGTTGCTGTTTCGTCGGTATCTTTAAATACTTCTGCCAATGTACAGAAATCATCAATACCTGTACCTATTGCTGCAAAAGAAAGTAGCAGTACGAGTAATTTAAAAACTGCAGAGGGAATGGAAAGTAAAAGTTCAAAAGATTCAGAAAAAAGTCGGCGTTCACGTTTACCTATTCGAAATTCTACTTCATTGGCAACACAGGAATCGGTTTCAAATATACCTGTAAACAGTGAGGTGACAGCTTTTCAACTAACCTCTATTTCATCCTTCCAAACTTTGATTGCATGGGTTAACTAATGAAAAAAATTCTGATGCTTTCACTAAACCTGAAATACAGACGGAAAGGCGAAATGTTTTTATCAACACACTTTTCTGGACTCTTCAAAAAGTTATAGACTGTTTATATTTTCCTATATTATAGCGTTTGGATACTTACAGCTTACTTTATTTGATTTAAAAATTGTTATTTACAGTTTTAATTGCAGAAAATTTCTCAAAGTAAGATACCAAAAATGGCAAGCGGAAATCGTCCATTGCAGTATTTTGGTCAAATGCATCCTAGGTACATCAATTTTTTTTTTAGCACTTTGTTGATTTTTTGATAATTCTTTGTCTTTTTTCTTTTTTATTTTTAATATGAAAAGAAAAAAATTGAAATTGTTTAGTGAAAAGCACCTGGATGGCGGTACAACTTACATTCCAATAATAAAAACTGGCATTCCAACGTCGCAAAGTCGGATTATAACAGAATTGTAGACAAGTAATGATATTGTTCTATTGTCGCCCATTTCCCTTGCTTGTTTCTTTTTTTGTCGTTTTCTGTTAAATTTTATTTTTTTGTACAAATTTTTTTGTCTTCAAATTTTAAAAACAGTATAATCAGTTGTGTAATGCTGTCTGCTTATTGTTAGCAGAATTAATTCTGTAAGGTTGTGTTCCTTTTTTTTCCCACTTTTTTTTTTTTTTTTTTTTTTTTTTT